CTGCACAAATTTTGACATATACAATATTCATTCAACACTAAGCTGTAAATAAAAAGGAGATATATTTTTATATGGAAAGATTTGGAGAAATGTACTCAAAGTATTAACCAGACAAAACTAGATGGAGTGATTCAACTACTTTTAGAGCATAAGTAAAAACCAGCATACTCTTTTACAATAATTTCCAGTTTCAATGGAAAAAAATTAAAATTCATGGGTAACATTCTCATAAAATGAGAAGAATATTATAGGAAATGAGAACAAAGTCCAATTCCTCAACATCGAGAGTTTCTCTACTTCATTATCCATATAAACTCATAGCATTATAAGTAAGTGACACAAAATCCAGGTCCAGGGGCTGGGGATTTAGCTCAGTGGCACAGCGCCTGCCTGGCAAGCGCAAGGTCATGAGTTCGATTCCTGGTACCGGAAAAAAACAAAAAAACAAAAAAAAAAAAAAAAAACAAAATCCAGGTCCATTTGCAGGTCTTATGCCTTCTTCTGCCTACAAATAATAATGAAATACTGGTCTTTCTGTATGATTAGGAGAGCGGTTCCAGGGTCCCATGGATACCAAAATCTGTAGATGTCCAAGTCCCTTATGTAAAATGGCATTGCATACACATGCTCCTCTATACTTTAAATCATGCCTAGATCACTTATAACACCCATGCAACGTAAATTCTATACAAGCAGTTGTAATAGTCTTTATTTGGTATGGGTTAGATAACAATTACAAGAAAAAATTCTGCACATGTTTAAAGGTAAATATTTTTGCTGTGATCTACCTTTTCTTTTCTCTTTGTGTGTGTGGGGACGGGGAGTTTGTTCCTGGGGACCATACCTGCTAGGCAGGTATAATAATTGTCTTAGATACTTGTCTTGTTGCTGAGACAAAATACCCAACACCCAAACTTTGGATGTTTCCGTTCAGTTTCTAGAGGTTTCAGTTATGGTTGGCTGGCTCCAGGTCAGGGTGGCTTGGAAGAGGGGCATCACAGAGGAGAAACAGTTCGTGGTAAGCAGAAGGCAGAAAGCAGGAGGGCAGCAAGTAGCAAGTGTGAAGAAGCAGCAAGCAAGTACAGGGAGACTGCAGCTCTCCTTACGTCTGTCCTATTTTATCCAGGCAACTGCCCTTAGAGCAGGTCGCACTCACTTCCTTAATCCTAGCATCACACCATGCATCAATCCCAGCATCACATCTTTGATCCCAGCATTACACACCCTAGATCCAACCACCTCCCGAAAGCCCCACTTATGACCACATATGGCTTTGAGGGGATACAGAGATACAAGCCATAGCATTAACCCTGAGCTATATCCCCAGCCATCAAGAATTTCTGAGCAACAGTGGATTGAATCTGTGGACACAAAGCTCCTGGATATAGAGATTCAACTGCATTATTATCCCAAGCTCATTTACACTGTTACTGTTTTGAACAGATTTCAAGTTAACTTCAGTGTGTTTATTATGCATTTAGGAGAAGAATTTTTCCAGGATTTTCAGAAATTACAGCTAAATTTCTATTTGGAATTTGCCAATAGTATTAACCAGAAAGCTATTGTTCACGGGAAACAGAAGTGAAGAAACAGACTGTTGAAAAAAATTATTCCATAAAAATAACATAAAAAGTGTTTAATAACAATTTTCATTCTAAGAACAATAAATTTCTAGGACTGCTGGAATGGGTTATTTAATTCTTAAACAGAGCTGTTTATTTTTCTTTAGGATAATTTCAGTTAAAACAACTAAATGACTTAAACACCATTATTGTACTCATTTTTAACAAGAATAAGATTAGTAAACAGGAGTGAAAAATTTTTAGCATAAATGGAACCACAGCAAGGACATATGTATTGTGAAGATTATTTCCAGGTTTTTCTCTAAGAGGCACTGAAGAAGAAGTGAAATATATCTCTTGCTTTTAGAAAATAACAACTTCAGGTCCCAGGGAAGTATGAACACAACGGGACTAATACTATTACTTTTGGACCTCATCAACTCAGACCATAGAAAATGCTTGATCCACCTGAAAGGACACAGCTACAACCTACAAACTAATTCCTTGGTGTTATGGTTGATACATTGTGTCAACTTGGGGAGTCCAGAGGTTTGGCTAAGTGACTCAGCAGGAAGCCAGGGTGCTTACTTTGTATACATCCTGAGCCTGTGGAAGAGGAGGGCATGGAGATTATGTGAGAGCTACACGCCCCTTAGGTGGGGGTAGCCTGTCTACAAAGTAAGGCAGAGAAAGAAGCTGCTTGCCGCCATTCCTCCCATTTGCTCTGGCTGTTTGCTGCTCGGCTGCCATTGCCCCCTTTGCTCTTGTTGCTTTGCTACCTTCTGCCTCCGAGCCAGCCAAGTATGGACTGAAACCTCCACAAACTGTGAGCTAAATAAACCTTTTTCCTTCATTTTGAGCGTTGGGTATTTTGTCTCAGCAATGAGAGAAAAGTAACCAAGACACTTGGTGATCTGAAAGAGTCTGTGTTGAATGGGGTAAGAAGGCCAAGCCATAGAGAAGTGGTTTACTTTTGAGCAGTTACTAAACACCTTTACTTGAAGTCCCTTATTTTAAAGACTGCCTTAATTTTTTTCTGACAAATGCATGCTTATTAGTGAAACAAATGAAACAAAATACATGCATCCATTTACAATCATCCTCATAAACATTTCCAGACTCCTTAATTAAGATCAGAAAGCATAAAGCAGACTTACATTCTAGAAGATTTTGCCACCAGTCTGAATCCTGAGACCAAGGGTGGTTTTGAGAAGGATAGTGCAATAAACAAAAACATGGCATTTTTCTACCCAACTGTGTAGTGGATGTTTATTCCAGCTAATGAACTTCCAGATTTTATGAGATACTCTTAGAAAAAGAGCATTGTCACTATAGTTTAGGATGACAGAACTTAACGGTAAAAGTGGTTTGCAAACTATGCCCTGTTCACCCTTGCGTATTAAATACTGGCATTGCATTTTCTATAACAAGCATTGCCTGTTTCGGTTCACTACAGCCTAACCTGAGGATCTCTCCTCTCCGCCCCCAACTATGGAACAGTGACAGAGAAGGGAAAGCCACACCCGCCATGGAGGTACGGACCTGCAAGCCCAGCACTCTGGGAGCTGAGGCAAAAAGATCACAAGTTGGAGGTCAAGCTACAACTTAGTAAGACCCTCCTTCAAAATAAAACAGGGCTGGGGCTGTAACTCAGTGCAGAGGCCTTGGGTTCAGTCCCCAGCACCACAGAATGGGGGTAGACAGCCCCACCTTGCCGGAGCCCTGCTCACTGTCTCCAGACATGCAGCTGTCCTGCAAGGGCAGGCAGGAAGCTATGGGGCAGAGCAGAAGAGTAGGGTTCTGCCTGCCAGCGGTGCCATTTTAAAACATGTGCTTAGCTTACAGGAACCTTATTTCCTCATACATAAAATGAGGAGAATTATGCCAAACTTGAAACTCAAAGTACAGTGACACACAAGTCATGACTGTCTTTTTCTCCATGATAATACTTTATGCAATGAAGCAAAAAGTTATTTAGTACCACAGGGAGGATCATGTTCTTTTCCTCACCTCAAGTTCTTAGTGATCGGGTCACAGCCAGTGATTTGATGATAGAATGAATCACCTACCACACAGCCAGAGGCATGAAAACCTGAAGCGCTGCCTGTGGGTTTAAGGACCACCACCCTTGCACCTGGACTGAGTCTCTGCATCCACAGAGCACAGCTGCATTCACTGCAGCCCTCACTCTACCATGACACCTATTCTGTCTCTGCCTTTCGGACCCAGTGTCCAGTGCAAAGAGCACTGGGGGGGAAAGCAAAAGGACTGTCCCTGGTTGTCATCCATGTGATTTGTATATTTCTTCCCTGCTGCCTGTGATTAGGACATTTGAAAGTATTACATTATTCTGGGACCTGATCACTAAGAACTTGAGGTGAGAAAAAGAACATGATCCTCCCTGTGGTATAAATAACTGTTTGCTTCATGGCATAAAATATTAATAGGGAGAAAAAGACAGTCATGACTTGGGTGTCACTGTACTTTGGGTGGAGCCTTCTATTCATTTTCTAAAAGCTACTCTCCCCAGGCAGAGTTATCTGAGGGTGAGCAATTTCCTCTCCTGTCCAGTGGATCCCCTGGGACGATCACTGTGTTGGAAACCATCATTTCCTTCCACAAGAAATCAGAGCTGTTGCAGGTGCAGCATTTCTTCTCATTTGGGGGCTAAGACCACGGTGGCGTGTGTTGAGTGAGGCCAGAGGCTCAACAAACACCTGAAGTATGACAGACACCTGTTCATGGTGACAATGCCAGTGTGTGTTCTGCTCCAGAACCTCTCGTCCTTGGGCTGGTTCTCCGTGTCAGCACGCAGACATCTCCCTAGCCCAGGAACACCACTTACTGGTTTTTGGACTTCGAGCAAGTCATCTGATATTTTTGAGACATAATTTCCTCATTGTCTAACAAAAGAGGATGGAACACACATTTCTTCATGAATAACACGTAGATGTTTATGAATTGTCTATGGGAGAGTATCGTTCATAAGAAATTATATTACTGATGTGAAAAATTATGTAGTGCCGCTGGAAGATTTGTATCCAGAGCCATAACCTACCTGCATTTAAAATGAACATGGCTGCAACAACATATGGTGAACGAACAATCTAAGTTAGCTGTTATGATTTACCTTTTCCCTCCGGTTAGCTAAGCCTGCCAAAGTGTATAGGTCCAATAGCAAGGGACTGGAATTTGATCTAGGAGGAGTGATCCAGAAAACAGTAAGAATCTGGTACCCAGTTCTCCCACAAGCTTCTGTCCACACTACCAGGCTCACTCTGCCTTCCTGCATCCACCCCATCGATGTTCTTCAGCTTTCCAGAGAAAAGTTTTGTGTTGTTCTTTGTGCATCTTTAAGCTGCATAATCTTTGGCAGTGAAAATAATACAAACACACGGGCATGTAAATCCAGACAGAGCTATTTGCATCATCACTGACCTTCACAGCAGTCTTGCCACACTCGCAGGTCCATCTTTGGAATCTCAGTGCAGCTCAGGTAGTCCTTTGGGTACTGCGCCCTTACAAAGACGTCTGCCTGGACTTGCTGAATATTGTCACCGTTGTCACACAGCACACGGCCCAGTGACACCTGCTTCAGCTGAGTGAGTTGTGCAGGGGTAAACACTCCAGGGTTTTTATACCAGAACCTGGTAGTCAACAAAGAAAGACACAGCATCGTGGGTTGCTGGCCTGAGAACTCAGCCGCGTTTCAAACAGTCACGGTGAAGGAAGAGCTCAGTGCAAAGGAAACACATAGAAGCGATCATGTTTGTTCTCCAATTAAATACAGTACGCTTTGAAGTCCCTCTACTATTTTTGAAAGTCTGAAATCCTACACTTCTGAGTTATCATTTTCTATTCGAGTTTCATAAAGTGATCCGCAGTTTTGCAGAGTTCTCAGAAAAAGCACTTTTTAAAAATTGAAATTTTATGAACTGACCTTAGAAATTGTCTGAGCATTTTAATATTGATATTTTTGCCAAAAATATCATTTTTGTATTGAATATACTAGTTGTTTACATTTACCAACTAGTTAGAATAAACACATCCAATCTGAAATGAAAGAGTATAATTTAAAAATAGACTATTAAAGTGAGGCCTTGTGTTAATGCATTCAATTGATATGTGAACATCATATGTCAAGCACTTTTTCCGTTCTAGGTATACCACACGAAATTAAAAGAGTAAATTAAAAGGCTTGCTGTCACTCGCATAGGGCTCTGGGTTCAACTGTGTACCTGTAAATTTCATATGTTGAAGTCCTAAACCTCAGTACTTCAGAAAGTAACTGTATTTGGAGATAGAATCATTAGTGAGTAAGGTAAGAGTGAGGTAAAATTAGGTCGTATGGGACCCTAATCCAGCAGGAGCAGTTTCCTTCAAAGAAGAGTGCAATTTGGACACAGACCAACGCAGAGAAAACAATGAAATGAAAACAGAAAGAGACAGACATCTGCAAATGTATCCATAAGAACCAACCCTGTCAACACTTTGAAGTTCTAACTTGCAGAATTTATGAAAAACTTCTGTGGCTTAAGCTTCCCAGCCTGTGGCACTTTGATATAACTTTATAAACTAATATACACGAGAAAAACAACTTACTCAAAATACTGGAGCTTTCTCAAATTTGTTCCGTCTTTGACTATATATACATATTAATTAATTCAAATTAAATATATGAACCAATCATATGAGGCAAGAAATCCATGGTGTTAAAAATACTTTACAAAAATTAATTTAATAAAATATACTATTCATATTTGTGAGATGTAGAACAAAGAGAATTAAACCTCCTGCTACTTTCTTTATAATGCAGCTCCTAAAAGGAAGAGATTTGGAGGAAAAGTTCTAAGTAAAGAATAATTGTAGTGTGAATTTTAAAAACTAAATTCTAGGGTGTGTTTCCTGCTTTATACACATCACCTCTGCAGTAGTACAGAAAACTGACTTATCAAGTAAATTCAAAGGAATCCTAGACCTTGAAATAAAACTTTACTAATAACCAGGAAGCTACAGTGCATTGGGACACATCGGGTTCCAGGTGACACAAGCCTGTTTCATGCCGGCTTAGGGGTGTTTAGGTTGGGTTTCTTAATTTTCATACTTGGTTTGTCTCGGAGCAGTAAAGAGGTTATATGACTAAAGTGCATTCTCAAGTCAGCCATCCCTCATAATTCAAGTTACCTCCATAAACATTTTGGATAAACCAATACATTTTAGAGAAGAGTTCCTAGTTACCTTTCTACTGAGAAATATCCTTATCAGATAATTTTATAAGGAGGATCAATCATCAGGTCTTCCTCCATGAAGCTAGAAGTCGAAGGCCTGGTATTCACTCTTTTTCTCTCCCTCTGGCATCATTAGAATCCTGAAGATACTAATGATAAGTACCACAGTTAGCACTACTATTACACATGCTTTACAGATGAAGGAACCTGGTGCAGAATAACACCTTTCCCAGAGTCAAATAGCTGTAAATACTGATGAACAGATTCAAAGTCAGAGTGGTGAGTTTATCACACATCCTCTCATCTCTGATTCCCATGACCTTTGAAGGCATTCTATTTCTTTTCTTCTTACAAAGACTTATAATAATAACTGTTATCTGATATTATCAGAGGTCAGAAGAGTTCTATAAACAAATGTTGTTATTCATTGTACTTAGTAAAACTTAAGTTACAAAAAACACAGAATCACACTATAATTTAGACATACACATTTGGAGGCAAAACACCGATTTTATTATTTTAGTTAAGTGTAACAGTTAATCTTTTACCTGTCTCCATCTCTGAGCCGCTTAAACTGGGTAACAAGCAGGCACATAAGCGTGGGTCCCACTCTTGTACCAGGGATCGGGTCTTCAACCATAAGCCCGGGCCATAAGTCAATGTCTCTGGGTGTGCCGTACAACCTGGGACAAAAACAGGCAGACAGCGCATGCTACAGAGCAGCAGTGACAGTGACCCTGAAAACATTCCTCACAGCAAAGACTCCTAGGCCTCGCTTTACTTTAGCCACACAAAATGAAGAGGAAGAGATCATTATTACCCCCTCTTTACAGATAAAAGCACCAAGGAGAAGGAAGCATTTCAGGAATCGTCAGAGGACAGGAAGCACACCAAAAGCTACCCAAGAGCAGTGAGCTCCAAAACCAAGCAACACCCACTGTGCTGTTCTTTACAAATATCCTACAAGTAGTGGTGTATAACTATATTTAAATATAGATGGGTCTGCGATTCATGTTTCTAATTAGATTGGATTTATTAGCTTTTGTATTTGGTTAATACAGGTTACAGGCCTAATTTACCAGCTAACTGCCACAGTGTCATAAATTCAATTCAAAGCCATGTAGAAAATAAACATATTAAATACTGAAGTGTTTCCATTTCCATGTATATGCTACACCAAAACATCAAAGTGTAAATATAAATTTGGAGATAATGCAACAGTGTTAGATAAGTTCTCCTGCTCAGCCTGGAATCTCAAGTACTACTTTAAAACTAAAGAAACAAACAAAAAATACTTGAGGGAAATGGTTATGATAAACCACACAGGCCTGGACATACCAGTGATTTATAGACAAAATATGACTAATACGTGATGCTCCAAGTACATACCCATATGCATGTCTTCAATTTTTATGGACAATGCCCAACTGCTACCCAAAATGCATGAAAAATTCATATTCCAGTGATAAATATGCAGTGATTTTCTCTCTTTTGTTTCCTAGCAAAATACATTTCATTGCCCTTGACCATTTTACCTTAATTTACTCTTCAGTCTTTTCTTTAATTTAAATTTCAAAACCAGGTGATAGGATATTAACAATGGTTGTTATGTTATATAATGTTATCTTCAAAGTGGTTGCTCAGCTAACCAGATATAGGCATGTAAGATTGATCAAACAATTACACATTAACAGTTCCTTTCAATAAACCAACAGAGATTAGTAGGACAATTATCCTAGCTATCCTGTGTATGTTATTGTCTTTGATCAGTCTTACATTCTTCTTCTTCCTCCATTTCTTCTTCACCTTTTTGTTGTTATCTGCTCCTCCTCTTTCACTTCTTTCTCCTAATTTCTGATGACAGGTGGTATTTTTATATTTCCAAACACTCACCTGAATGTTTGAATAGTGGTTTAATTCACATTTAAGAGGGGATTATCGCTTCTTAATTTTTCAAGTTATCTGGAAGGTGGTTTTCCTCTGAAATGTCTTAATTTGCATTTTTGGTTACATACATTTATTTGAAATTGATTTCTCCTCTTTTTTCATCCCTAGATACTTTGTGAGATGATATAATAGCTTGCCCATCTATCATTTGGAAGAACTGTAGCATTTTTAATGGCAACGTTAGTGATGATGGGGAAGGAATAGTTATATTTCGCTTTCATTCCCATGGTATCTGGAATTTTATTTCACTCTGCTTTCACTTCGCTATCAAACCTAAAGGGGGCACTATCTCTTCTCTACGTACCTCTTTCTCCCTCAGAAATTATCAACCTCTGGCCACTTTCAGATGGACAAGTGGAGTTGTAAACTGCCAGCTTGAGAACCACATTTGACAATTTAGTACATGTGAAGGTTTTTCTTCCTGAGAGATATTTTATCTATGTTCTCTTCCTCTTTCTTTTGCCCAAGAAGATGTTTTCATGACCCTGCTATCCTTTTCTCCTTGCTCAGAGACTTGCAGCAAAAGCGATGCTCCATTGGCAGTTCTGTTAGTAATTGGTGATTTTTTTTCAAACTTACAGTACTTCGAAATTCATACCGTTCTGTCTCCTACTAATACTGAAAGCACGGACCTTGCATTACTCTACGGATCCTTTAAGTAGATCTTATCGTTTTGGACCGCCTATTTCTATTAGGTATGCTTTCACATTACGAGTTTGCTGTATATTCTGAGTGCTCTGTTACTCCATGACTGTACCGCTTTTTAATCATTCTCATTAGACTGAATTGTGCTTAAAATATTTTGCTTAATTTTATGGTTAAATTTATAGTTAGAATTTTGGAACATTTTACTTAAAATTCTTTTCCTTCTACTGATTTTCATAGGTGATGCGAGACTGGAATTCATACTCATTTTATCCATGGGCAACCAGTTGTTACTATAACACTTAGTATATTCTCCTTTCTCTCTGCATTGTGCAGCTCTTTCAAATATGGCATCTCCTGCAAAGTAAAACAACACTGAGATTCCACCTCACCCCAGAAGGAATGACTATCATCAAGAAAACAACCAACAGCAAATGCTGGAGGGACTGTGGGGAAAAAGGAACCCTTCTCCACTGCTGGTGGGAGTGTAGATTGGTGAAACCACTGTGGAAATCTTGTGGAGATTACTCAAAAGCTAGGATTAGAGGTCCCATTCAACCCAGCTATTCCCCAGAAGAACTGAAAAAGTCAAACCACAGCGATATATGTGCACCCATGTTTACAGCAGCACAATTTGTCATGGCTAAATCTTGAACAACCCAAATGCCCAGCAACAGGAATGGATAAAAGAGATGCAGTATTTATATACAATGGAGTACTCAGTTATAAAAAAAGATAAACCTGAGGCTTTTATAGGTAAATGGTTGCAACTAGAGATCATACTCATAAGTGAAATAATTCAGACCCACATGTGTAAACATCATATTGTCTCTCTAGTGTAAGAACCTGAAAGAGTAAATAAAATCCGAAAGGTACAATAGATATTGTGAAAGGGAAAGAATCTACTCAAATTGGAATATCAACTGGGATGTGGGAAAACAGAAAAAAAAAGCAAGAAGGAAGGGAAAAATTAGGTATATGTATGTACACAAGATAGCTAAGATAATTGTGACACTAGTTTCTATTGGTTCATTGAAAGGAACAGTTAATGTTTAATTGTTTGATCAACCTTCCATACCTATAGCTGGTAATCTGAACAACTGCTTTGAAGATAACAATATGTAATACAACAATTTTTAATTTTCTATCATCTTGTTTTGAAATTGTGTACCGCTTTTGTTGCTTTTGATTTTTTTATTTTAAAGATAATTTAAAAAACAATGACAAAATAGCAACATAGACAAAAACAAAGCAAAGTGAAAACAACAAAAATTTTTGTCTTTTTGTTATTTCATTTGTTCTTTTCCCTTTAAAATAAAATAAAAAAATTTATGGCATTGCCAAACGTGAGCCTTTTTTCTCATTGTTCCTTATTCTGTCCCATTACTCCACTTGTCTGTTACTGATTCAGAGTCACACTGTCTTACTAGTGTAAGCTTTATCATGGCAGTACTTCTGCTAACTGGAGCATTAAACTTCTCTACTAGGATCCTCTTGGCCATGAACTCTACCAATTTAAAAACCAGTGTGGATGCTACAGAGAAGCATAATTCAAATCTTATTGGTAATGTCAATGAATATAAAATTTTTGACAAATGCTGGCATATTTATATTGTTGAATCGTCTTACTCCTGAACATTAGAGTTATAAATATTCTCTAATAATTATCTGTACAGTTTTGTATTTCTTTATAACATATTACAGAACTTCTGTCAAACTCACCATCTTCTCATTGACATCACCACATAATTTTTCTTTCTATTGACTTAAATACTTTGCATAGAAAGTTTGAGGAAATTATTATGCAGTTTCGTTTCATCTTTTCTGCTCCTCACACAGTTTTATTTTACTGTCTTAGTTATGATTTTCAATACAATTTGAGCATAAATCTACCTTTGTCTTATTCATGTTTCTAAGTAGGCTACTTTTAACATTTAATTAATGCATACCACAGAATCTTTTGAAATCATCTTTTTTAAGTTTTTCATTTTTCCTTCAATACTAAGTGCTTTTCTTAAATTCAAGTGAGATACTTCCTTTTATATACTGAAATGATTCTTTTTCCTTTTTGACATAAATCATTTCAATACTTTAAAAATCTCAGATCAATTCTATTATCAAATTGAATTTATTTTGGTCATGTTTTACATACGTACATCTCAACTTTGATTTTCAATGCTTGGTCAAAAAACCTAAATATTTATGAGTTACTGTCTTATAAATTTCTTTTCCTCGCTCCTCCATTGTTTAATTTCAAAATATTACTGACCACAAAGAGTAAGTTAGATAGTGTTTTTCTTTTTCTATTCCAGGAAAGATACCATGGATCTCTGGGATTATTTAGATTATATCGATCAGTGGAGCACTAGGTTTGCTCTGAAGAACAAATGTTCAACATTCATTCTGAAAAGCTTCCTTCACACTTAAATACAATCCATCTAGACTCTTTTGCGAGAGCTCTTTGTTTCTCTGCAGCGCTCTATGTCTGAACGTGCATTTCCAAATAAATAAATGTAAAAAAAAAAAAAGTGTTACTTCAAAACTAAATTTTAATTATTGTTATGGGTTGAATTCATCCATGAAAAAAATGCATTAAAATGGTAAATTCCCACGCATGTGACTGTGGTCCTATTATTTGGCAGTAGGAGCTTTTTGCAGGCAAGCAAGTTAAAGTGCTCTCACAAGGATGGCTCCTGATGCAATAATGCTGGTTCTTTGTAAGGGGAAGAGAACAGTTTGGACACACACGGAGATTGCCTGTGGCTGCAGAGGCAGACACAGAAGAGGGAGAGCTGCAAGCCCAGGAGCACCAAGCAGTGGCATCCACTAACAGAACCTAGGAAAGCACTCCCTCACAGAATCCAGGCAAAGCACTCTGGGTGCTCCCAGAGCGGCCACGGCTGATACCTTGATTTCAGATTCCCCATCTCCACCACTGCGCAATGAGCAAATTTGTGTTGCTGTAGGCCACCCAGTTCATGATACTTTGTTACATCAAACTCAGGAAACTGATATAATCATTAACTCCCATAATTCCATGCTAAAACACCTCCTAACTTTTAAAAAACACAACAATTAGACCGCCTTTTCA